CCCGCTCACGCGTTCGGCCCCATTTCCCGCGGGGTGTGCCGAGAGGAACGCGGCTGATGTTTTTTACATTCCACCCCACCGAAGAAAAAGGTCCATTCATTCCGCATTTTCGTGCACGATACTTCCCTCATACTCCCTGCGCACTTTCAGTAATTCTCAAAATTGTGAGCTTGACATTCTCCCAAAAAAGAAAAAGAAAAGAAGTACCCATCTCCTCTCAAGTTTGGAATCGACATGTTTAGGGATACACTTAGCAAAACGAGTCGTGCACTTGGAGAGCATGCTCCTAGAGAAACTAAGTATGTTGCCCATGATTTAGGCAAATTAGTTAGAAGCACCGGAAAAAATAGTGTGTTATAGCGTCGCTAATAGCATGCTATAGCGTGTAGATAATTATGTCGTTAAATTGATCAGTGTGCAATATTTCGCTAATAGCATATTTTCATTTTCGCAAAAAAATAATAATAGCATATTTTCATGGGTGACGCTATTTTGTATAGCGCGCTATTTTTTTTTCATTGGTTAGAAGTAAGGTGTGTGCGGGGTGGATGAGACATCCAACCTTAGAGATTGTTGATACTCTTGTAAAAGGAAATATCATGATCACCTTGCAATAAAAGAGTACTTTGATGAAAAAAAAGAGGCAAACATTTAGGAATCTCATAACGCATGAACGTCGGGTCAAAGTGCATGGGAAATTGAATATTTTCGATAGCAAGTTTAATGACACAAGGATGCCAGCTTTAGTTGGCAAGCATGTCAATTTCGTGTTTTTTTTAAAAAATTAACAGAAAATTATTGTGTGTCTCAAGTAACTTGTAATTCTTGCGTCACTAGAATTGCCATAGAAAATATTCGATTTACCATGTGCTCGTACCTGACATCAGGTACTTATCATTTGGAAACATTCATGGCTTGATGAAGTAGGCTATATGCAAGTAATTTTTTATGCTCAATAGAGCTCACGGTTTGCTATCATAATTGGGAGGAAAACAAATGTCTCAAAGATCAGCATCACCTTCCTCCCACTCTCCCACAAGTTGCCTTGGAGATCGGCATCACCTTTCTCCCACTCTCCCACAAGTCAAGGTGACAAATAGTAACCATTACCCGCATCCCTGTGGGTGATTATTGTATTATGAGTCAAGAATGGGCCAATTTTAATGCCCGCCGAGATGCTATTGGGTCAAATACCTTACGTAGCATGTAAGAGGAGGACGAGGACATGACAGACTTACATATGAGCCCTAAAATTAGTAGACTTCAGGTAATTCCAGGAGATACCCACCTCAGGTAATTCCAAATTTCTATTGTCCATGCTATTTGCCCCCCCCCCCCTTAAAAATGATAAGAAAACCATAACCTAGCCACGACACATGCCCCCAAAAGCC